GGAAGATTCCGAGAGTTATATGATGGGGTCTTTTAAGGGAATCCTGATGTGGATGTCCTTGGATTTGTGCCCAGTTGTTGTTGTGTGATATTTGTATGTTATGCATTTTATATGATGATCATTGTATGCACATTGAGTGAGCCATGGGGTGGAGTGATCCTCTAGTACCCTTGGTTTACTGAGATATATTTGTATATCTCACCCCGCGTTTGGGGACATCATTTCAGGTCTTGCTGAGCATGGTGGATCTCCGGGCAAGAGGCCCGCTTAGTGGAAGAGTATAGCGTGAGGATCATTTGGAGGGCATGACATATTGAAGGATTCCATTTGATGTACATAGCATTGTATTTAACATTTTGGACTTAGGTCATGAACTCGTTGCATGTGGATATTGTCATGCTCTTGTATATTTATGACTATATGTTAAGTCCTTTAAAATTGATGTATAGTTATGCCTCTTGTTATTCTTGTATTTTGAGTGAGCATGGGACTTGTCCATGGCCACATAATAGTATTTTGAGGCATTGGAAGACTTGAGTTGTAAATAGACCATTGGTTGTGTAAAATGGCTAGGATATTGCAAATGGTTGTAATGGATGCATTCATAATAAATATGCATGATGGAAGGGCCTAGAGCCTACATTAGGACATGTGTAAAATGTATATGAAGTAGCAATGTGTTAAGAGTAAGTTAGACCACTCATTTTGGATCTTAAAAGCTGTCATCTGTCATTTTTGCTGCATAGTAATTGATTACTTTTCACTGGTAATCGATTACCTGCAACAGGGAACAAAAAATTGAGCTTCTGTCTTCAAAGTAATCGATTACCAGAGCTTTGGTAATCGATTACCTAGTTCAGTAATCGATTACCAATATCTAGTAATCGATTACCAGAAAACAGGGGAGCCCAATTTGAGGTTCTAGTAACCTTGGGTAATCGATTACCTCAAGGATGGTAATCGATTACCACTGTGTTAAATTTTGAAAATGTGTTTTTCTAAAATCTGAAATAAATGGTATTGCTTAGAGAGATTATATTTGGTATGTTTTATGCTTCCGCGAGTTTTGCATTTACAATTATGGCGTTGTTTTAATTTATTACGGAAACAGTTAATGTTTAAAGAAAGGAATGGAATAAAAGAAAAAGTTTACCCGTAATTTAATTAACTCAATTACTGTGATTGTAACTGCGCTTAATACCATATGCAATGATAACATTACCGGTACGTAACGGGCTGTTACAACCATAATCTCCTAGGTATCTATATGTTCGGTTTTTAGGCCATCACCTTGATGCTTCCATTTTCGTTTAACATAACATTTCCTACATGACTTCAGTGTGAGCGAACAAGGTCTTTAACATGCTGTCCACACGGTTTTAGCACATGCAAGGCTTGTTAATTTTTGCTAGTCCAAATGAACAGTCCCAAAACGATGAGGAGCTATCTTCCAAGCTCAAAATCGGTTCTTTATGCTTGCATGCACCAAAGGCCAAGGGTTTTTTTGGCTGAACAGAAAGGAGGAAAGGAGAATGACAAAAAATATGTCCTCCTTGTTTACAATCAAAAGCTGAAACAGTGAGGGAAAAGGGAGAGCTTGTTGTTCGAGTTATACCTTCTTGCATGCACCCAAGTGCTCCCAAATCGGTCAAGGAGCAACAACCAAAGGAGGAGCAGCACCCCCACCCTCCTTCTATGCAAGAACTCGAGTTTCAATCTGCATACAAGGAAAAAAGGACTCAATCAAAACCGTAAGGAGATTAAAGGAACAAGGAAGTAGAGAAGACACATCACCTCCTCCTTCTTGATGTTCGGCCGCGCGCACAAGGGAGAGAGAATGAAGAATGTGAGCTTAGGTTTTTATGTTCTCTTCTAAGGGGCTTGCGGCTTTGTGAATGAGTGGAGAAGGAAAGGAATGTAATCTTAGGTGTTTGGGGTTCTTGTCATAGGGCATACGGCTGAGTGAAAGAGTGGAGAAGGAAAGGATAAAGTTTTGTTTAGATTCTGAACAAAGGTGGCAAGAAATCAGATTTGCCTATCACTTAGCAGGCGCATAGGAAGAGGAGATAAGAGGATAAGTGATTTACTTCATGACCAATGAGAAGCAAGCATGCAGATTTTGTTTTGGATAACTAATGTTTTATTTAAAGGTTAAGGTTAAAGGGATTTCGGCTGATTTACTCCTTCCTTAAGGAACTTGGGCCTCCGCCCATTAAGGAGATTAGGACCCAATTTGACCTCCTGATGGACATGATCTCATGTATATACTAAGTAGTAACTAGGATTTTTGTATGTTGTAATTAAAATTAATCCTATCCTTTTATACTAGTGATCCGATTTCTTAACATGCATTTACATTCATAATTGCATTTTAAGTAAACTTCCTAATTTATGCGAGATGTTACACTCTCCCCACCAAAATAGAATTTTGTCTGCAAAATTAGACCTACGTACCTAATTGAAGAGTTCCGGGTAACTATTCCTAATATTGTCTTCACGCTCCCAAGTTGCTTCATAAGTAGTCGTATTGTTCCATATCACTTTCACCAATGGTATCTCCTTGGAACGAAGTTGCTTGACTGATCTCTCAAGAATTCGGAACGGGTGAATAGGGTATGTCAAATTTTTCTCTAATTCCTCCTCTTCTAGTTGTACTACATGGGATGGATCAGAGATATATCTTCTCAACTGAGACGCATGGAAAACGTTATGAATCCCCGACAAATTAGGCGGTAACGCCAATCGATAAGCTGATTTTCCAATCCTATCCAAGATAAGGTATGGTCCCAAGTACCGCGGACTCAACTTCTTCGTTCCTATTCTCTTGCCAAGTCCAGATGTGGGCGCGATTTTCAGAAACACATGGTCTCCCGCCTCAAAAGTTAGAGGTTTATGATGATTGTCATAGTAACTTTTCTGCCTTGCCTGGGCCCTTTGCATATTTTCCTTGATCCTCTATACTTGCTCTGAAGTATCTTGAATCATGTCGGGTCTCAAAATACTTCGTTCACCAACTTCTACCCAACATAAAGGAGATCTGCATTTCCTCCCATACAAAGCTTCATACGGTGCCATTCTGATGCTGGAGTGAAAACTATTATTGTAAGCAAATTCCACTAAAGGAAGGTACTTGTCCCAACTGCCTCCTTGTTCTAAAATGCAAGCTCGCAGAATATCCTCTAGAACCTGAACAGTACGTTTAGTCTGACCATCGGTTTGCGGATGATAAGCAGTACTTAACCTCAAATGGATTCCGAGAGCTCGTTGGAAAGATTCCCAGAATTTAGAGGTGAACTTGGGATCACGGTCGCTGATGATGCTGGTGGGAACTCCGTGCAATTTCACAATTTCTCGAAGATAAATCTGAGCGAGCTTCTCTGTATTATACGTTGTTCGGAAACTCAAGAAATGGGCTGATTTTGTAAGCCGATCAACAATTACCCATATGGCATCAAATCCTTCACGAGTCCTGGGAAGTCCGACTACAAAGTCCATAGAAATACTATCTCGTTTCCATTCGGGAATTTCCAGAGGTTGAAGAAGTCCCAAAGGTTTCTGTTGTTCATATTTCACTTTCTGATATATTAAGCATCGAGCTACATATTCTGCAATGTCCCGTTTCATACCCGGCCACCAAAACGAAGTCTTTAAGTCATGATACATTTTAGTGGATCCAAGATGAACGGTATAATTACCCTTACGGGCCTCTTACAAATATTCTTGTTTAAATTCATCATTCGGCACTACTAACCGACCTTGAAACCTCAACAATTTATTTTCATTCCAAACAACATTTTGGTAACCAGCCAATTTATGAACTAGTCCCTTATTTATCTCTTTGAGCCCTCTCTATTCTACGGATTAACTCATTCTCTACTTTGATTCTGCCCAACCTTATTCCACGCCTTCTTTTGCTAACAGACAAGTTTAGATCCCGAAAGGCTTCAAGTAGTTTTAGTTCTTCTATCATCAGGGTGGCAGTATGAAGAGTCTTACGACTCAAGGCATCAGCTACTACATTTGCCTTGCCTGGATGACACTTGAGTTCGAATTCATAATCCTTCAAGAATTCCATCCACCGTCGTTGTCTCATGTTTAGTTCCTTCTGATCAAACAAATACTTCAGGCTCTTGTGATCGCTGAAAACGTCAAATTGCGAACCATACAGATAAAGTCTCCATATTTTTAGTGCGAACACTATAGCTGCCAACTCCAGGTCATGAGTAGGATAATTCTCCTCATGGGGCTTTAATTGTCGTGATGCATAAGCTACAACCATATGGTCTTGCATCAACACACAACCAAGGCCCTTTAGAGAAGCATCACAATACACTTCAAACTTTCTGGTTGGATCCGGAATAGTAAGTACAGGAGCACTGGTCAATCTACCATTTAGCTCAAAGAAATTCTTCACAAGCGTCAGTCCACTCAAAAGGCTGTACTAATTGGGAGAAGTTCTGGATGAATCTACGATAATAACCTGCGAGCCCCAAGAAACTCCTCACTTCAGTGACGGTCTTAGGTCGCTCCCAATTCATTACTACTTCCACTTTGCTGGGATCCACAGCAATACCTTCGGCTGAAATTATGTGACCTAAGAACTGGACTTCATTTAACCAGAATTCACACTTCGACCACTTTCTCTTTAAGGATTTGTAAGACTATTCTCAAATGTTCAGCATGCAGTTCTTCATTGGTAGAATAAATTAGTATATCATCAAAAAATACAATGACAAACTGATCCAAAAATGGGCGAAAGATACGGTTCATATAATCCATGAATACTGCCGGAGCATTAGTAAGTCCAAACGGAATCACCTGATATTCATAGTGACCATATCGAGTCCTGAATGTCGTTTTCGGAATGTCCTCCGGTTTAACCCTGATTTGATTATATCCCGACCGCAAATCTATTTTAGAAAACACCCTAGCACATCTCAACTGGTCCATCAGATCATCAATTCTAGGAAACAGATGTTTATTCTTTACTGTCACCTTGTTCAGTTGACGGTAATCCACACACATGAAGAAGTGCTGGGTTTGATGAATTCTTTTGACGAAATCTCTTCTATTTGTTTCTTAAGTTCCCGAAGTTTCAGTGGTGCCATACGGTTAGGAGCAATAGAAATAGGTCCAACTCCAGGAAGAAGTTTAATAGGAAATTCTATCTCCCGATGAGGAGGTAATCGAGGAATTTCATCAGGAAACACCTCCACGAACTCATTAACAACAAGAATATTTTGAAGTTGGGTATCAACCGTATTCTCAGACTCAATTAACAACAAGTACCTTTCAGCTCCCCGAAGGAGTTCTTTTCTAACTTGCAATAAGGAAATAGTAGCAAAGAACTGAGAATTACCATCTTTAGAAGGAACGATGACCTTTCCTGCTTGACAGTCCAGAGTTATTCCATTTTCTGCCAACCAATCCATATCGATAATCATCTCAAGACTGAATACCGGTAGAATCACTAAATTCACCATATAAGTCCTTCATTCAAATTGTAGAATACAACCCCTGCAGGTTTCTGATGCTGTACAAGATCCTCCAGTAGGAGTATTGATTTGCAGTTCATAGGGTAAAGGAATCGGGGTGAGACCTAGTCTCATTGCAGTGTGCCCCGCAATAAAAGAACCTGATGCTCCAGAATCAAAGATAACGGAAATAGGATAACCATTCAAGATCACATTACCTCGGATCAGATTCGAATACTTTTGGGCTTTATTGGCATCAAGAGTGAACACCCGAGCTTGAGTAGGAGGTTGATTCGCATTCTGAGGGCAATCAGAAATGAAGTGTCCCGGTTGTCCATACCTGTAGCACAAATTATTCCCGCGTTGGCATACACCAGTATGATTCTTCCCACAAGTGGCACAAGCAGAGAAACTTTGTCATCCGGCTGAGGATTGTCCAGGAGCATTATATTTGGTATGTTTTATGCTTCCGCGAGTTTTGCATTTACAATTATGGCGTTGTTTTAATTTATTACGGAAACGGTTAATGTTTAAAGAAAGGAATGGAATAAAAGAAAAAGTTTACCCGTAATTTAATTAACTCAATTACTGTGATTGTAACTGCGCTTAATACCATATGCAATGATAACATTACCGGTACGTAACGGGCTGTTACAACCATAATCTCCTAGGTATCTATATGTTCGGTTTTTAGGCCATCACCTTGATGCTTCCATTTTCGTTTAACATAACATTTCCTACATGACTTCAGTGTGAGCGAACAAGGTCTTTAACATGCTGTCCACACAGTTTTAGCACATGCAAGGCTTGTTAATTTTTGCTAGTCCAAATGAACAGTCCCAAAATGATGAGGAGCTATCTTCCAAGCTCAAAATCGGTTCTTTATGCTTGCATGCACCAAAGGCCAAGGGTTTTTTTGGCTGAACAGAAAGGAGGAAAGGAGAATGACAAAAAATATATCCTCCTTGTTTACAATCAGAAGCTGAAACAGTGAGGTAAAAGGGAGAGCTTGTTGTTCGAGTTATACCTTCTTGCATGCACCCAAGTGCCCCCAAATCGGTCAAGGAGCAGCAACCATAGGAGGAGCAGCACCCCCACCCTCCTTCTCTACAAGAACTCGAGTTTCAATCTGCATGCAAAGGAAAAAGGACTCAATCAAAATCGTAAGGAGCTTAAAGGAACAAGGAAGTAGAGAAGACACATCACCTCCTCCGTCTTGATGTTTGGCCACGCGCACAAGGAAGGGAGAATGAAGAATGTGAGCTTAGGTTTTTATGTTCTCTTCTAAGGGGCTTGCAGCTTTGTGAATGTGTAACTACCCGCAAAAATATTAAAAAAAAAACCTTGAAGAATCTAGTTCTTATAAAACTGTTCATATCAGGAATTTTAGAGGAAAATACCCTTTTGATTAATTTAATTCTCGGATTTTGCCATGAGGAGTAGAATGGGAAAGATTAATGGTGAGTCATTCGAATTATTATAATTATTAGTGGGTTTCAACCAAACTCTATGGAATTAATTACTATTTTTATTTTATGATGAGATAACTAATACCTTAAGATGTAATCATGAAATCGAATTACATGTAGGTGTAGGATAGGAATTATTTTAATTACGACGTACAAAAACCCTATTTAATAATTAGTAGACTACATGAAGTAATACTTATTAGGAGATGAAATTCTTGGACCCTATGACCTTTAAGGGGCCACGACCCAAACCTCTAAATTGAGGTTTAAAAGGCAGCCCAATATATCTTCCCTACTCATGATCCTTTAGATCATCCTAAACAAAATCTGCATGTGAGCTTGTTATTGGCCAAGAATCAACCACAAGTCCATCCTACTCAGCCTATGCATGCTCACTATGTGTCAACCTAGATCCATTCCATTCCCCTTGCATGTGCGCCACCTATGCATCAAGAGGACACTTGGACCCTCTCCCCCATGTCTCGGCCAAGCTCCATTATTGATCAAGGACTCACCACTCAATGTCTTAAACTGATATCTCTTCTAATGCTCTTCAATCACAAAAGAAAAATCAAGCTGAATCATCATCCCTACGCGCATAACAAAGAACAAACTAAAACTGATTGCTCATCCCCTAATTTTGAACCAACACTCAGCCTACTCTCCCTTACAAACCGTACACTCACTAAGAATAACACCAAATACTTGAGTTTCACTCCTCTACTCATCCGTCCTCCACAGCCGAAACCACAAGAAGAATACAAAGGAGAACAACGTGTGCATCTCCTTCATCATCATCTTCTCATCAAATCGTAAGTACCATAAGGAGACAACAAGACATCAAGCACACTCATCCTCTCCTTTCCCAGTTCGACTGAGTACCATTGAGCAATAGATTGTGATCTATGCTCAACCATTTGCTTCCTTCTCTTGTGCGCACAACCAACATTAAGTAGGAGAAGCCATAAATTCGATTTCTTGAAGAGTGATAGAAGGAGGTTGTTGTCCCTTGATAAACCCCTAGTTCGTCAGGTTTTTAAGCATGAATTAATATCAATTTGTGTGATTAAATGGATGGAAAAAAGGTTAATGTCATGGAAATCCCTCAAGTACAAGTTCTGAAAGCTTTTTTGAAAATTTACATTATCTTGCAGGGAAATGAAGCTCAAGGAGCAGCAGAGAGAAGGAAGAAGATTCTGAAGAAAGGGAGAATGCTCAAGTGTTGAGCGCTAAAACGTCCACACAGACGTTTTAGCGCGCTGCTGTTGGAAAAGTTTCTGGTCTTGAGCACTAAAACCTCCTGATCAAACGTTTTAGCGCTCTGATGTGGGAAAAGACTCTGGTCTTGAACGCTAAAACGTCCAAGTCAAACGTTTTAGCGTTGGAATCAGTTAAAAGCAGTTGTGCATCCGTCAAACATGGACGCTAAAATGCCCATCAATTAACGTTTTAGCGTCCATGGCAGTTTTCAGTTGTAATTTGTAACACTATAAAAGGCAAGGGCCTTCACATTCTGAACATATCTCATATCCTAATATCATATCCTCTCTCAGATCCTTTGATCTGACTCTTCCCCTTTTTCTTATTTTCCAAATTCTTTAGGACTTAGTTTTTGTATTAGTTAGTATTTCCTATGTAATTGTACTTGAAGATTGAAGTCTCACTATCATAACAATGGAGTTTGATCTTTCTTCTTCTCTTGTTTATATTTCAACTATGTCTGAGTAGAGTCCTTTGTAGTCTGATTCAATGGACTCAAGTGTGAATTTATGAATGGTTAATTAGATATTTTGTTTATCTCTTATGTGATTGTATGAAGTTGTCTTGATTAATTCTTTCTATTAAGGGAATAGTGTAGAACAGACATGTTTACATTGTTTCTGTATTTGACAACTTTATCATCAGTGTTCTAGTAGTCAAGACATTGATGCTAGGATTCTGATGTGATCTTAAGATCTTAGTATTTAATGCATGTATTAAGAAGGGAATCACCAAGACATTGGGGTTTCTGATTAATGTTTCAATCAGGTTAGTAAGACATTACATCTTGATGATAAGAAAAAGGTTGATCAACATCACATACTAGATAATTCATTATGGAAATTGGTTCAACCATAAATTCATGCTTGAGAGAAATTGACATCTGACTACTTGTTTAAATTATAATCACATTTTATTTGTTTATCAAGCTTTTATGCAATTCAACTAAATTTCTGGTGACAAGAAATCGATGCAATTAATAATCTTTTGGTTGATTCAACTTAAGTATATATGGTTAATCGGTGCTGGAACACAAATCCTCGTAGGAACGATCTTTACTCATCATTTTATTACTTGTGTGACTAGT